GGCTGAAGCTGGCTGATGGTGTATGAAGAGCACAAAGACACAACCTGAGGAAATGTGTTAATTGTAGGAGAACAGTGGAAGAGTAAGGCCCCAACGACAGCTGCCTCCAAAGTGGATTCAATACGTGCAGCACATGTGGCACTGGATTCTAATTTGGTGTGACTGGTAGGAGGTGTGTTTCTTCTAAGTCAGTGGCAGTTGTGGACGAGGAAACACCCACAGTGGTACCTGCCTGGCGGCCAGAAGGGTAAGAATGGAGCATCTGGCTTATGGAGGCAGTCTGGGCTGGGAAGTGGAGTTGTCTGGGTTTTATGCAAGGAAGGTTTCTTTTGTTTGGTTGGGTTTTGCTTTTTGTTTTTACCACAACCAGTTAAATATAGCCCATCAATTAAGAATAAGCCAATGTTTCTACCACAAACTCATAAAGAAACACACTAAATAATTTCCCAGGAGTTTTTTTAAAACAGGCAGTCTCTTGAGAAGAAAGGTCTAGGACTAAATTAGCAAGAATGTTGCAGGTCAGGTTTGAAGTACTGCATGGTAACAGAATTCTTTGGAAAGACTTGCCTGGAATTCTCTTTCATTACAGTCATATCCAGCAAACACTTGCAGAAGGTGCAGCTCCTCCTCATCTGAGTTGTCCTGAAATCACTCAGATTATTGAAGTGAAAAGTGCCTTTTCATAAGCAAGAATTGTCAGGGTCTTTTTTTGAATAGTGAGTCTATTCAAGCAGGCCTGGCTTATTAATAAACTTTTAACTGAAATGCTGCTATCCAGAATAGCACATAACGATCCCTTTACAGTATCAAACTTTTGTTTAAAAAATGTTCTAAAACAAGCATAGACAATATACTGGCATGAAAATTTGTGGTAACTTTTTCATTGAATGGTGCATTTCATCTTCCAGAAGAGATTCCAATCAGAATATTTTTTTTATAGCTATAAATCAGCAGTTTGAGTCTATGATGTTTTTATACCAGTTCTTACAGTACTTCTTCTGTTTTGTTGGCCGGTGAAGAAAGGTTCATTTTTAGGCATGGAGATTATTATAACAAGGAGGGCAGGCAAATATCATCGGACATTTTAGCATAAAGCTAATTTTGGTGCAACGCAGATCATCTAAGTGTTTTTTTAAAAAACTTTGTTTCGTGACAGCAAATGGAGCACAGAACTTTGCTTGATCCAACTAAAACCTGAGCAAAATCGTATTTACTCATTCAGACAGAGTATTTGTAAATGTGTAAGAAGGTTTGATTAATCTTATACCAAGCTTTTTGTTTCCTCTGTTCCTCAGTTCTCACTACTTTGTCAAAATGGATGTGATAAAAATATCCAAGTGCAAAGGAAGTCTGGAACCCAAGCAATGTCTGAATCTATGAAACACTTATGTTTGTGAGACTGATGAGTTTGCATTTTGCAAGTGTTGAGGCAGTCCTGGCCAAGTTATGCATCCATTAGCTGTGGGTCCTTTAGCATTTGTAATTCTGTAATTCTTAGCCACTATGTGTCCAGGGTCTGGGTTAAAAAGTCTTTTTCTTCTGTGTGATGAGGAGTTCCTGCCGTCTCTTTTCTTCAGCCTTTATCTTACATTCTGTGTTTCTCTGGGAATAGATTTAAGATTAAGGTAATACAAGAGTTTATAGACGTGCTCTAACAGATAGATTCTGATAAAAACCAGTCCACTGTAGTTATTGTCATAATATACAGAAGGGAAATAAAGTTCAGAAGTCTGTTTGAAGATGTAATGTCAGTACCACAGGTGGGACAGGGAAGTCTTAATACCATAGCAATCCGTGAAGCCGGGGCAGAGCCTAGCAAGCACACTGCTCCAAACCTCTGTGCCTGAGTGTGGTATAGCAGAGTGTTAGGACCCCTTAAGGACCCAAGAAAAAAGCTAGCTCCACGCTATTCTGTAGAAAGTAATGAAGGTGCTGGAGACTGGCGGAAGAATATAATTCTTAACTATACAACTGAAACAGGATCAAAAATAGTGTGGTCATAGGATCATGCAGTGGAGGACTCAGAAGCAGAAAAACTTGGCTTTTTCTACAAGAAGGAGAGGTTTTTTCCCCTACAAGCCAGGTGTAGTTGAAGAACTCGCTTCCTCTGGGCGAAAGGAGGGTTAATGAATTTTTTTTTTTTTTTAATTCATTTTGACATTTTGGACTGATATGAGGATTTCTGTTTCATTTAAAATGTAGTCAGGGTGAGATGCTTACCTGAAATATCTGCCTTTTGGTGATCCAAATGACAGTGAGATGAGCCTGAATGGGTGGGGTGGAGTTGACAAGGTGAAGAACCATACCCTGATATCCTGATATAGAAGATCGTTTCTTTGAATAAAATAATTTTACTTTTCCTAGGTAAATTGGTTTAGCATCACAGCACAGTACCTGTAATTCAGTTTATAATTATGTAAAAAAACCAGCCAAACAAACAAAAAACCCCACACCCCAAACAAAACATATCCTTACATGTACCAAGTGCTTAAGAATCCATAACAGCTTGAAGATACTCCATTTGAAGTAATATTTTAAAAAGCTGGCAAGACTGTTGCTGTTTGAATGGCTGCCTTTTTCAGCAGTGTGTTATATTGTTGAACAGTTTTTCATTCCTGACTTAGAAACTGATTATGCATCCACAGAGCATAAAACTTTAGAGTAGTGAGAGAAGTCCAATCAATGTTTTTATAAAAGCGCACAAGAGCCACTGCTAAAGTGTCATAGTTTCATGAAGCTATGCAGAGGGTCCTGGCATGCGGACTGCTTGGTTAGATTCATTCCTCTGTGACCCAAGCAGATTTTAAAGTTTAAAAATCTTCACTTTCACTTGAAAAAGCTTCCTTGAATACATAGTAAGTAATGCTTTTAGCTCCTCAGCACATAGCAAAAAGTAAGTCCAAATACAGTTTGAAAAACTATGAACCTTTTAAAATTTCAGAAGCTACTTATAAGAATTAAAACAACAAGGAGATCATGAGTGGTATGACAGAGTTTTCTGCTCCGCTTGCTGCAAGGAATCATGCAGAGAACCTCATGTCCCTTGGGAATGGAGTAGCTGTACTGCCTGACTTCAGGTACTCGTGTGGGTGATCTGAATCTTCCCCTGCAATGCAAGCCTTTACTTCTCCCTCTTGACTCCATGGGAAATTCAGGCTCCTTAATCTTAATGCTGTCACTTGCACCCTACTTGGAGACCGAAAGTCTCAGTGATGGCATCATCTCCAGGTCCCCTCCAGCTGTCTTCTGTGCCCACATTGTTAAAATCGGAGGTGATGGGGATGAGATGCTGTAATTTATTAAATGGCCAAACTGAGTCTTACCTGATGTTGCCAGTTAAGGTAACGCATAGGAAACAGCCATATCCCATACGTTCTGCCCAAGGCTCTATACTTAGAGTGTATTCAGAAAGGGACATGTGAAAGCAAGTGGTGGAGTATGTTTAAAGAAAAGGTCGATTTGGTCTGGTCCCACTCTCTTAAACTCTAAGCTGACCAAGCAACACTCAAAGTCCCATGATTTCCTAGTGTCAGAAGTTAATTCCATTTTGTGCTGTTTCTCGGTTCTGATGCCATTTGTGTGTACCAAAAGCTCAGCTGGCATACAGACAGCCCCGTAGGCATGTTCACCATTTTCCCAAGTAGTACATTTACAAATGCCATTTATAAAAAGCAGTGCGTGTACATGTAAACCACTGCAAAGGTGGTATGATTGGTGTTTTCTCATCAGATTATTTTCTGTAGGTAAAGGTTGCAGTTGTACGTTTCTGAATAAAGTAAAATTCTTCAGTATGTGAAATTTCTGATTTTTCCTTACTTTGAATGTCTGAAGAATCTGTTTTTATGCCAAACCCATTTTTATGGCCATATGTTGATTTTTCTAGGCAGAGTTATAGGAAGTGACTAGATTGTATGATCACCCTGTCTGTCATGCCTGCAGGTAGCTTTGAAAGGAAGATAAGTGTCAAAAGCATAATGCAATCTGAGTGTAATTTATGAGAATGACGTATGTGAGAATGTTTTAGGAAATCAGTATCTTTTAGATGGAGCTGCAAAGATTCTGAATTCTGTCATTGTTTTGAGGATCTTTAAAGTGAAGTGGAAAATACAAAATAATGTGGATCTGTGAAATCCTCAATGTTATGTCATTTACCCTCATCATGAAGCAATTGGTTGTCTGTGGAAGCTCTGACAAGGCTATTTCAGTCTTCTTACTATATATTTATTAGTGTATATTGTGTTGCTGTTAAATATATGTTAAATTACATGAAAGGAAACTTTTCAATGACGTAGCATAAAACAAGTCCAATCAGAATATAAAAGATGCATATTTTCTTTAGCATTCTGAAGTAGGTTGCAAAAATCCCACTGTGCTTGTTCACCTTTTCCACCCGCATTTTAAAAAAAAAAAGTATTTTTAGCATTTACAGTCGTAATTAAAGAGATCACCTATTTGAAGACTAAGCCTGTCACAGTTTAGTTGTCTTAATGAAAGAACAGTTATATACTTTCAGTAGATCTCTTAACATCATTGAAATAAAACATGTGAATGTCTTCATTATTTTATTATTTTTACTTATTTATTGAAATAACTACACCAATTTTTGTTGCATGATATTTGTATAAATGGTAAGTTAGTTGAGCTAACTGTTTAGTTAGGAAGATTCATTCCCTGTCTTTTTAGACTATCATCCTACAAATGCTTATATAATTTACTTGGCATATATGTGTAGCAGGGTTTCATTTAAATGAATATTGATGGAACTATTACCTTAGGTTATAAAGTAATCAACCAGAGATTGTTTTAGTTTTGTTATTGTGGAATACCAAATGCTTTATTGGGACTTAACAATTAAATGTGTACATATACTTCCAAGTTTGTGCACATACTTCCAAGTTTTTATGTGTAAAATAAAATGTATATTAATGTGTGATACCTATGTATGAAATTTGCAGATACTAAGAAAAGTGCAATATTAATGGTATATTTTTATTTTGTAGCTTGGATCATCCTCCTCTGTGCCTTTTACATCTATATTCTCACAGCTGTTCATGACTGTTGTAGTCCCCCTTATTATTGGACAGGTATGTCTTTTAAATATACATTCTTATTTAAAAAAATAAGATAAAGAGAGCTATCTTAAAGACAGACTGGCAACCTGATAAGCTGCCACATAGGAACAGCCTCAGGATAGTGAAGTCTAATATCAGAGAAAAGATGCTACAGTGCTCCCTGGAGCCACATTGATCTTTGTTGAGATTGAGCATCTGTCCCTCACTACCACAAACATACGCTACTGCATATCGAGAAGGGAGTTTGTGAACATAAAGTGGGAAAAATGGCAGCCCAGACTGTGAGAAATTCCAGCCCCATACAAATGAGCTTTGAGAATACTATATAGTCCTTTTGTCACATGCCCTTTGCCTGGATGATGAAGGAAGTTCTCCCTGCGTAGTATCTACTGCTAATTACAGGAATAAAAAATTCTCAACATTAAAAAACATGTAAGGGCTAAGCAGTCAGAAGTTAAGAAATCATAAAATTAAGGCTGCTTGAGCCATTTTGCATATGCTTTACAATAAGGGTTTTAATTGCACAATTGCAAACTATTCTTTCTGCATGACTGCTCTATCATTTGTTACACTGGATATTCATGGAATGAGCAGCTGTTCAATATTTCATTTTATACTCATTGTTCGTATTGTAACACAAAGCCTTATTTTTTCATGGCATATGATAGAAATCTTTCACTGAATGTAAAGATACTAATTGCAGTATAAGATTTTCTGAGACACTTGTATCTGTAGTATCTGTTTTTTCACAAATGTTAATATTAATTATTTTTTTCTTCCACATCATGGTGGTAAGTTGCTATATTAAGACCAAAAGTTGTCAGAGGTGTCCACTATTCTTGGACACCAAAACACCCGAAGCCTAATTCTTACATACTTGTAAGTATTCGTTGTTCTCAGGCTTTCAGAATGCACGAAGGGAGTATCAGTGGGATTTGCAGTTCATTCCCAAGGGGTACTGTTGCTGATTCTAGCACCCAGTTTAACTCAGAGTTCAGCTGGAACTTTCTGAATTTTGTCAACCTAAAGCAGGCTTTGAAATGGAAAGCATAGTTAAAATGTAGGCAAATTAAAGTGGAGTCTCTAAAGGAGCACCCTGGACAAGGTTAAGAATATCTGTCATTGCCTGTGCTATGTAGAATAGGCAATCAGTCTTGTATCAAACTATAATTGCACATTTCAAAATTAGCATGTACTGTACCTTACTGAAGCCCTAGTGAAGTTTGTTTCTTATGTGGTCAAAAAAAACCATTAAAGCCTTATAAGAAGATGAGCATGATAAGCATGACAGTAGCCACCAGCATCAGTACCTGCATAACCTGGCTGTAACCATACCATATGGAAAATAGGCATAACCTCTGTGTCCCTGAAGGCTATTGAATTGCTCACATGCTTTGAGTTAAATGCCTAAGAATCTCCTTATTTATTAAGACCACAAAGGGTTGCTGATGAACCTACCTGTGTATCACATTCTTATCTCATCTAAATTAAGTCTCCACCAAAAGCGGACAAGCAAAAGCACTTGAATCCTCTCATTCTGAAAGGTCCAAAAACTGGAAGCTATTAGTTGCAAGCCTTAGTTGGAAATTTCTAAGAAACAAATAGCATGGGAGCAGATCTAGCAATAAAGTAACCTATAGTGATGGGGTATTAGCAAGCTATACTGCAGTGTAATAAGTCTGAAGATGATGGTAGATTGCTAGACAAAGTGATTGCAAAATTTCAAGAGGACTTTCATCTATACATATAATGGCATGTTACTTTGGAGGGATGTTACAAGAAATTGCTATGTGAGCTAACTGGTGGAGTTGGGGGTTTTTTTGGCTTCACTAAATAATAAGGCTAAATAACATGAATTGAGCAATAAGCATATAAAATAAATGCTCTGAATGATCTTAAGTTCAAAATCAGAATTGTGATGAGACTTAACTGAGAACAGATGTGATTTAGGAGTTCTGATAAAGACTGAAAGAAAAAATAGAGAATCTTAAAGCTTGTGTAACTCAATCACAAATTTATTTAAGAGTATGTTTTTTATAAATACACTTCAGCAAGAAATAGGATGATTCTCCTTCAAAAGTATTTGAAGCAGTTTCTGGAAATGAATGGTCAACAGAAATAGCTCACATTCTTCTAAGCATAAAGACTTTGTTTCTAAAGTTACTGCACTTGATTTTATCTGTTCAGAGGATATGGAAGAGAGGAAATGCTAAGGATAGCTACAGATTAAAAATGCCAAGGGTAGTTTAAATTGATTTTCTTGATTAGGTGGAACTGTACAATAGTAAACCAACCTTCCCAGATAGGAATAGAAGCCATTTTTTAAGGTGGATATCCAAAAATAACATGCAGTAATCAGGGGAAAACAATAAGCAAGAAAAGGACTGACACTAAGAGATGCAGTGATAGGTCTGCTTGCCCTTCATCTGGAGGTGACATGGATCAGTTCTGATTAAATGGGAAGTTTTGCATTTAGTTTGTAGACCACTACTCACTCATTACTGAACTGTTGCACAACCTGCGGCACAGCAACATAATACTGCTTTGTGAATCACAAGTTGCTTGCTCTGGGATTCCAGGTGCATTAAGAGATAATGGCCCACAATTCATGAATGATGGTTTCAGCAGTTACTTCTAATTTATCATTTCATGCCCACAGTGTCAATTCCTTACCATGCCCAGTCATACTGCTCGGCAGAAAAGTCAGTGGAAGAATGCCTGGTAAGGTTACCTGGTAGCAAAGAGCTTGATTGGGAAAAAAAACGAGCTTGGAACCTGCCTGCTTGGAGGATTGCTTCTGTGCAGCCTTCCTAACTCAGCTGTGATCAACAGAGGCTTTACGCTCGATCCACAGCAGTGTTAAACAGAGAAGGCTGCTTAAAGGAAGCATTCTCCAAGGGCTTTATTTTCCTTTAAAAAAATCTCGCCTCTGGGAAAACCTGTGTTGCCTAAACGCTCATTTCCTGAGCAGGCTGCAGAGCTGGCTGTTTGAGCAGCCCCTGGGATATAAGCAAAGCAGATGAGAAGGTGCTTTTAGATTTGTTTTGTTTGGGGTTTTTTGTTTGCTTTATGGCAAAATGTATCAAGAGTTTTGGTTGCTTGGCTGACTTGTCAGAATTTTTAATGATGGCTGGGAGAGAAAAGTCACAATAGTGTAATTGATGCTTATTTTCTACTGTTTCTCGAACAATTTTTTCAGTGTGGCAAGACTGCCGGTGACAGGAGTCAAACACACTTTTCTAGCCGCTGCCAATGAAATGCGTAAAGGGCTGCAGGTACAGGTTATGCTCAGGTGGTGGCTGCCATTTGTTAGGTAAAGAAGGAACTGTTAAAGGAAGAGGAAGATACTATGTTATCAGAAAGGCACTGAGTCTTAGAGATAGCAGTTACTGATAGATGGTCTTCAGTAAAGAGAATCACTCTGTCAGAGATGTGCAGGTTGTCTAAACCTAAAAAAATGTTGTGGCCTGCATCTTCTGTGTCTTCAGATGTGTTTTGCTAATTGACAGTATGATGTTCCTCAAATCACTATTGATAATGTAATATTCCATTTGTATTTATAGAGTAACGAATGAGATGTCTCTGACAAGAGGTCTTGAAAAGAGACATAATCTATAGTATTTTATAAAAATCTAATGTTCTATAAGCCTCGAAGATCTGTAGTGTGTAAGAGCTTGTTATTTGTGCACCACTCTTGTATACCTCTAAGGGGAATTTGAGAATGCTTGTTATATGATAAACATGGTAATAGATATTTCACGGAAAAGATTTTTTAATTTGCTTTGGCAGTTTGAAGTTCTGGTTATTTCTTTTCCTGGGTAGCGGAGTTCTGATGAAGATTGCTGCTCCTGAGCTGTTATGATTTTGCTAAAATAATTGTTTCCTTGTCTATAGATGTTGGTAATACTTTTAGTCAGCAAACAGTAAGGTTTCGAGAAATGTCTTAAGCAGTTTCTCCATGACCAGTTGTGAGATTTGGCTGAAGACTGTTGTTTCTTTGCTTATTTTTTTCTTCTGAAGTGACAGATAACAGGAACAGTGAAAACCACTGCAATATTTCCTTTCCTCTTTTTGCAGACTTTCTCCATTCTCTACACCTAAATGCTTATGACAGACTTTTATTTTATGTTTTGTATTAAAGAGCGATTTATGATTAAATGTTAATGAAATAGAATTTTCACTGTGCTTTCATTATATTCTACTAGTTTGAACATTTTTCAAAGCAGCACACCAAAACCCACTGTTTTCTATGAATAAATAATAAAAAGCTTGTCTGTACATTATCATTCATGCATTCTCTAGTTGCCCCATTGGTAATTTGTCTGCCAGCGTAAAGTGGGCACTTCACATTAAACAGACCTTAACTAAAGCTAAAATTAATGTTATGATTCTAAGTCGTTCTTCTTCCCAAATCTATAAAATGAAGCCAGTTGTACAGAAATCCTTGCTGAATCTAGTCACACAAAAAAATCTCAATGTCCTACAAGTAAAGGATTTTAAGTGCTTTCTGCATCATTGCCCAAAATGTTCCAGAGGAACCTTATCAGCATTTGGGAGGTGTGCTTATAAACACAACTCTAAAAGGGTGCTGTGTTGCAATACAAGTTGTCAGTGAAATTGAGACTAAAAAGCTTAGCAATGTATTTATTTTTAAAGAATAAGAAATTGAAGGGGAAAGGTAGGTGGCAGTTGCTAGGGAGTAGAAGGTACTATTCACCTAAGCCTAATGTTTGTTTATAGTGGGTGGGTGGGTGGGGGAAACAATAGTTAAAGAAACTGTTATAAAAAGGGAACAGTGTCAAATCCTTTTGTTCTTGTAACTTAAATCCACATGAAAGTAGCCCTACTTTCTTTTCAAAGTCTAGGGGAGCTGCAGGGAGGAGGAGTGGTACCCTGGGAGATGAGCACTTCTAGAAGCTTGTTGCAGAAAACTGAGATGGCAGATAAACAGCCTTCAGACCACAGTTCGCTCCCTTCTGACGCTTGACTCCAACAGGGAACAGAACCTAGTC